TTCCTTTTACCTTGCTTTCCAGCCATCTTTAAAGCCATTATTCCGAAATCTAAAATATTTCTAATCTATTATCATTAGGATCTCTAACAACTGCTTGAAGTTCATCGTTAAACCTAACATCTGCACCTGTTCCTTTAACATTAAGAACTTTCCAACATGATACGACAATGTTAATAAAATCTGCTGTATCTTGTCTTTCTTTTATATGCTGCAGTTCTGGATGATTAATCTAAGCATGGTAAGTTTTGTCACAAAATATCCTTAAACAGGTAGACACTGACTGCCTCTCGATTAGCTTCGGAAATATTTTTTTAAAAAAGTTTTTAGATTCAAGTTCATAAAGTTTTTTCAGGTGATCCCATTGTGCTACTTTTTGTACCCCTTTATCATAAAATATAAGTTGACCAGTTTTTTCAGTAAGCCAATTATTTTAAATGTTTTTAAGCAAATGTACATAATCAAAGATTAAGAAAACACCATTATTATTTATTTGGAACTGTGAATTCGAAGATTTTAAAAAAAGCCTGTTTAATTCTATTTCCATCACATATTATGGCTTTGACTTGACACGATGATTCCTTTATTGATTGGATAGTAATGCTAATTTGTTGGAAAAGAAATTTAGAGTTTAATTTACTTATAGGTATCATTTTGGAAATGAACGATGATCCACCGAATAAACAATTAACCATTAAACCAAATACAGTTTTTGCAAAGATAAGTTGAATCATCCATTGCTTTTCTGAACAATGTACCACCATGATATAACAACATTTTTTTAACATAAACCTCCTCATGCAATAACAAACAAATTTTCTGTTTTTCTTCAATAGATGGAAAAATATTAGTAAAAAAAAGTTTTTCGTTTAATTTAGAAACTTTTGAAGTTATTCTTGTAAAAGTTCTTACAGAAGGCAATTGGTAATCTGTTCGCAATTGATTATACAAACTTCTGGATGTAGCAAAATACTGAAAAGATCTAATAATAATTTCTTTAGAATAAATCTTATTTCCAACACACTGTGTACCCAATGGAAGCTAAATGTTCTTAAATTACAATTTCTTTCCTTCCAGGAATCAAACTCTTTAAATAACGTAGGACTTCTTCTAATATTGACCATGCATTAACTTTTGAAACTCTGTTTTTAGAAATTGTAGGAATTTTAATTTTGACTCCATAGTGATAAGTTTCAAAATGTAAATCGTCTCTAATCTTGATTAAAAAATATAGAAACCCATTTGAATAAGCTTGTGATTGCAAATGAATAATGCTATTAATCATAAAACATACTGATGGAACACCCAAATCTCTTTATTACATAAAAGAATTTCTTTCATTTCAGCAAAAGTTACTCTATCTTTTTCTAAAAAGGCTGATAATTCATCTTGAGCAAAATTTCGAATACATTAAGAGGCATTATTTGTTGAACGTAATGGAGGAGGTTGAGTGGGAATTTGACAAGATGTATGCCTGTATGCCTGACAAGATGTATGCATGTATGCAGTATGCCTGGCCATACAGATGGTGGAAATTTAGGACGAAATTTTCCTCTAACTTGTTGTTTTTCAAAATTTGGCCAATGCAACTCACAAACTACAGTGTCATTAGTTACCTTTAGATTTGCATTTGGAATAACTTTAATCCACATTTGTTTTTCATCTCTATTTTTAGGAAATCGATATACTGAGATCTTTAAATTATCAGATTTTTTTTTAGCCGATAAATAATTTGTGGTACAGCCATAAATACAATACTTTTTACCTATATTTCAATATCACTAAAATGGCGATTA